AATTTAAATATGGCGTTTCCTGCAAAGGGGATGTGTGTCCCTTTTTGGTTCCTCCTTTTGACAATGTCTGGTTGTCCTCCTTTTTTGTGTGTCTTCTAAAAAACTTTTTATGGGGACCCCTAAAGATCCTTATACCCTCCTGCAGGGTCTGGATTTTGGAGATTTGTCAGGTTTGACCCGTCTGCTCTTCCTTATTTTTTTTGGAAGAGACTGGGGGGGGAGACGAGCGATGCGCAAGCAGCCGGGGGCCCTAAAGCCGAGCGCCACCGAAGACCCAGCCGCCCTTGCATTGGAAGACGGAGCGTTGCCATTAATAATTATTATTAATAATTCAGCCGCCGGCCTCTTTCCCGGGAGGCCTCGTGGGACCAGCCAGAAGGCGTGGAAGAGGCCCAAGTTCCTACGCCTTGTTCCCCCTGGACACAGGGAGCGCATGATGTCCGTCTGCTGTGCATGCGCGCGGGCTGTGCGCGTGTGGGCCTCGTTTGCCAGGACGAGGGGGGGAGCTCAGCCTGATGGGAACCCCAGACAGATTAATCACATTATAAAAAACCCAACCACAACGATGTCCCCGCTTTCTCCCCCCCCCAAAACCCCGTCTGCCGAGGCCATTGTGGTGCGCCTGACGACCGACCCCTCGACATATGGGCCTCATTGTTGCCTCACACGAGAGGGGTGGCAACACGCTCCCCGCCAGGCGAAGCCCGCGACAGATTGGGTTTCCCCTCTTGGCTCCATCGACAGCTCCTTCGCCCTTTCTGTGCCCTCGCCATCAGGTGGATTTTGGAGACCAAGGGAGGGGAAAAAAAGACGAGGGGAAAAAAAGCTGAGCGTCCTGGTGTAAAATCCCAGAACCCGGGAAGGCGATGTCTGGATTCCACCTTGGAAACCCCAGAAAGAGGCTAGCTTTGGAGCCCGACAGGACTCTTCCTCAGGCCAGGCGTCACTGGCAGGGCGATGCCTTTATTAGCCCAGGAAAGACTTAAAAGGAGGCTAGCTTTCCCGCCTACCAAAAAACATTTTAATTAAAAGTTTTAGTAAGATGTGATATATAAAACCATGAAAGGGGCCAGCTTTGGAGCCTGACAGGACTCTTCATCAGGCCAGACTTTCCAGGCAATGGGACACCTTTATTAGCCTCCTAAAGACTTAAAGAGAGGCTAGTTTTTTTTTAAATATAAAAACAAATCTTTAACAAAACATTAAAAGTTTTAATAAGGTGCAATATCTAAAACCATAAAAAGAAGCCAGCTTTTGAGGCCTACAGAGCTCTTCACCAGGTTGGGCTTGGCAGGAACTTCCACCATCACGGAGACCTGTTGGATTTTGAGGTGGGTGTGCTCCCTTTTTATCACGACGGACTGACCCGGCTGCAGCCCACACGGGGTCTCCTGAAATAATGGACCCCATACTTGGGATTATTTTAACCCCCACAATGGCAGGAAGGGTTCGAAATGGGACTGGCATGTTGGATCCATGTTGGATTTTTCTCCACGATCTTCTTCTGTCACAGGTCGAGAATCTCTCTGCTCCTTCCTGGCCTGTCCCTGTTTTGTCGTCACAACAGTCCTGCGAGGTAGGCTGGTTTGAGAGAGAAAGGTGGAAAAAAAAGACCCACTCCAGGTTGAGGGGAAAGTCTCCCAGGGCAGAAGAACAGAGGAATGGACCCAAATTTTAAAACGTAACAAGAGTGCTGTTGAGTCAGGCCTCTCCACTTCCTGAGAGTAAAGACCTTGTGTGTTTGTGTTGCATCCGGCTATAAACAGGAAACACATATTTTTAAAAAAATTCCCAAATGTTAAAACACCAGGAACAAAAACCTCCACAAAATATTTAAACATTTAGAGCCTACAAATAAATAAATAAAGAGAAATCCTGCTTTTGGGCTATTCTGAGCCCTTTTAAATCCCTGAAGTTGTCCGGGTACCCCCTTGTGCTGTTTCTTTGACACCCCTCCAGGTCCACCTTCAAAACATCTGGCGCTTTTTTGGGGTGATGCTCAGACAAGATCTTGGAAAAATGCCGTTCCATCCTGAATACAGAATCGTGAAAACTGCCCCCTTTCCTGTTGCGTCTCCCATTAGGTTGTGTGTGTCATTTGAGTCATGTTTTTAATGGGGAACCGGATGAAATGGGCTCTCTTCCAGGCCCCGCAGGTCTATGATTCGATGCTTTGGCTTTCCTCTCTTGACGCGGGGTTAGACTAGATGACCCCTAGGGGTCCCCTCCAGCTTTATAATTCTATATTTCTGTTACTAGGCTGTCGCGGCTGGCAAACCGTGCGTTCCAAATCGGCGTTCTCTCTTCCACGCTCAGCCTCGTCTCCCCCCTCTCTCTGGCTCTCTAGCCATCCCATTAGATTGCTTTCCATGGGGAATTCTTGCGATTTTCCGAGGGCCCTGCCTGGCAGCTGCGGCCGAGGCAGCTGCGACTCCTTTGCTCCCGCCCGGCTTCTCCTCGGCTGAGTTTGCACTGCCCTCTGCCCGTGGCATGCAAGACTGCAGAGATGATGCCGGGGGTGAGAGAGGCGGAAAGCAAGGTGGGTGTGTGGGTGTCTTTGATTTCGCTTCGGACTGAGATTCGGAAAGGCTGCCATGAAGGAGTTAGAGAAGGGCCTCCAGAGTCTTGTATTACCAATCATTATGTATGGGTAGGAAAGCTGGACCATGAAGAAAGCGGATGGGGAGGACAAAATAATTGAATCTTAGGAAAGGTGGGGCTGGAGGAGAGCTTTGTATATGCGCTGGACAGCCAAATAAGACAGACCAGTGGGTGCTAGGTCCAATCCAGCCTGAATTCTCTCTGGAGGTGAAGATGTTGAAGCTGAAATGGAATTTAATCTGCCAAAAGAAATATTTTAATCTCCAAAGAGCTTCAAAGGGTTTTTGGTTCCTGCTTTTGTGTGTGTGTTTGTGCTGCTGCTGAAACACACCAGCGTTTGCCAGGACAAGGCGAAGCTTTGTCTAACAAGGAGAATCAGGACTCCTCAAGGCCTGGATGGTGAGAATCCTCCCCTTTTGCAGGGGAAAATAAAAGTTTGGTAAGTAGTTGGATTCATGAGGGCAAGCGACATGCCCCCGGTGTGGTTCCCACCCCATGTTTATAGGGCAAAAATTGGGAATTGGACATTGTGAACAGTGTGGAAACTAGCTCAGACTCCTGTTTTTCCCTTGGTTCAGGGCTCCCGAGGAGGAGGAGATTATGATGATGGCAGCCTCCAAAACCCCATGGGAACATCAGGTAGAGAAGGTGTCAGAAAACCAAGAAATCAAGATCTTGTGGGATTTCCGGATCTAAACCAAGAAACACCTTGAACACACACCAGACCTAGTAGTGATAGAACGAAGGAAGGTCTGGATCCTTGACCTTGAAATTCCCGGGGAGGACGGAGTTGAAAAGAAAGAATTGGAAAAAACTAACTAAATACAGAGAGACCTGGCCATCGAAACATCTTGCTGGGGGATGAAACCCAACTCAAGTGGTCCCCGTCGTCCTTGGGGCTTTGGGGAACCATATCAAGAAATTTCACACCGTACTATAAGGAGCTGCAGATCTCAGAAAAATTGCACCATCAGGACTACAAAAAAGAGGCAATATTATGTAGGAACAGCAATACATACTGTGCCAATATTTAACAGATACTTAGGTGTTTGGTTAAAACTTGTATCCATTAGATGATACCAGTCAAATGTTTTTGTACTCTTGCTTGACTGTATTTGGTCTTTTTTAAAATAATAATCATTATATTAGACTGGCAGAGTGGGAAGGGACCCTGTGGGTCATCTAGCCGAGCCCCCGTCAAGGAAGCACATGGGGGGGGGCAGAATTCGAACCCCCAACCTCTGAGCTCTCCAGCAGATTGTGACCCAGGGTTTTTTCTTTTCTCTCTCCCCCACGGGACCCCCCCCCAATCCCAGCTCTTTGCTCCAACCGTTCAGGAGGCTGGGCGGATGTCTGTACGGTTTGTCTTTATTAAAGTCAGAGGTGGTTATAGGAGACGGAGGCTCCTCTCTGTCGCCCAGCGTGGGGCATCAGGCGTCGTCTGGCGTGGGGCCCGCTCAGCGCTGGTTCTCTTTGGCTTTCTTGGCCATCCGTTTGTGGAGTTTGTGGAATTCCAACTTGAGAGAGGAGATTTTGCTGGGGCTCCTGCTGACAGCTGAGAGACAAAGAGAGGGTGGGGGGAAAATCAGGATCAAGCCCTCACTCGACATAGGAAACAACACTCTCACTGGGAGAAAAATCAGGTGTGTATACATCTTAAAGCTCAGCCACTTTGCAACGGGGACTACAAAACCCAAAATCCCCCAGCCAGCAGGATGTCTGGGAAATGCGTCCATGAGATGAATTCCACCCCCTCAAAGCTCTGGATTTTCCCTCTGTTGGATCAGAAGGGCCCAAATCCCGTTGGTTAGCCTTGGGATTTGCACTCGAGCAGGCCCACGGAATCGGTGGGGATCTGGGGAGCCAACGCTTCTGTAAGATCCAGGGATTCAAATGGGCCTCCTTGAATCAATGGGACGCACGTAGGAACAGACTCATTCAACTCTCAGAGTCCATGGGCCTACTTGGGTGCAAATTGTGATGCTAGGTAACTGTGCCATTTACCGGGAAGCTTAGATGCCTCCCCAAGACTCAGAGCAGCCTTATTGGCTTGGCTGCTCCGTCTCAAATATTGTGACAATCAGATGTTTTTCAGTGCTAGATAGATTCACGCTTCTAACGACGGGCTCTCTGTAACACACGGTTCCCTCCTGTGGCCTGTCTTTGCAAAGAGAAGACCTGCTTCGAGGGGTCCAGGAAAGAGAGGCGGGGCGCTGCCGCGGAGGCCTCATCCACCCCTGTTAGGATGAGGCCCGTGAGCTAAGATGCTCACCGTGCCCAGGGATGAGCACTGGAAGACGTGGCCCCTACAGGGGTGGCACTTCTTACCTCTTTTGGACGAGTGGCTTCTTCGTGGCTTGCTCAGGGAGCCGGATCTTCTGAAAGGAGAACGTGGTCGGTCAGAACGGCCCTTCCCGCCACCTCTCCGCTCTTGACTTACCTTCGCTGCCACCTCCTGGGTCGTAAATGAATGAAACGGACAGGAAGGGCTCACTTCGAAACAGGGGGACCCATCTACCAGCCGTTGTCATTGGACTCCGAATCCCATCTTCCCCCTGACCCCGTAGTACCGGATTTCTCGGGTACCTGTTGGCTACAGGTCGGTCCTTCGGCTTCTCCCCCTTGTTGCCTTTGGGGGACGCCCCAAACCTTTCTTGGGCCTGTTCTCCTTCTGACGGTGGAGGGGTCTCCGCTTCCAGGTTTCTTTCAGAGCCGGGCGAAGGGTTTGAAGTGGGGGGCGGGCCGCCGGCGAAGCTGAGGTTGGCGTATGGACTTTCTGAGGACTCGGACGGATTGCTGATCCCCTGGTCTTCTTCTGCCACAGTGCTCAGTTTATCCAAAATGGTGCTCTCTGCATCCTGGGGCAGCGGGCGCGTCAAATCCTGGAAAGAGGAAGGAGAGAGGATGCTTTTCAGATTGGGGGGGGGGCACGTTGGTTTTATCAGGGGTGTTTGCTTCAGTTTTCCTCCCATGCTTTTGGACTGCGTTTAAGAGGACATCGTTCTTTTCGGCTGTAGCAGATTTTAGCGGATCCATTAACCTAGAAAGTGGGACATGTTCTAAGCGAATTGGGAAGTTTGCTGAGTGTTTCACTTACCGTATTTTTCCATGTATAAGACTATACTTTTGTCTAAAATCCTTAGACTAAAAATTGAGGGTCGTCTTATACACGGAAGTAAGCTGAGGAGAGAGAGAGAAAACCAAGTGGAGGGGAAAGCAGGGATCAAAGTGATCCTGCAGGGATCCACTTGCTAAGCCCCACTTAGATTTCTTAATTTTGGGTTAAAAATTGGGGGGCGTCTTATACATGGGGGTGTCTTATACATGGAAATATATGGTAACTTGGGGTGGGTGGGTTTGGCCACCTACTTTTCTCAAGGGATCCGTTAGGCAGCTACAGGAGGGAAAGAAAGCTGTTGCAAAGGTGACAGGATCCCCACACAACAAAAGCCTGCGTAATTTCCTCCTCCCAAAGTCAGCGCTGAAGAGCGACAAAGTAAAAAACAGGAGGAAGAGAAAGAGATGAGGATGTGGTCCTTCTTTTTCTGTGCCCGGACCGATCCTCCTCTCTTGGTTTTCTATTTGCCATTAGAAATGCCACCATCAGCCCCTTAGACTGGACCTACCGGGCAGGAAAAGTGTTAATCCACAAACCTTTTTCTCGGGGGGGGGGGGGATTCCAACCGCTAGGCGCAACTCTCCATTGGCCTCAGCTGGACTTTATAACCTGGTTAGATGTCTACGTTTAACCTGCTTTAGTGACACGAATACTTGTGAGCTAAAACGAGGGGCCTCAGCCCCTAATCCAGGACACTGGGCAGATGTATAAAGGTTCCGGTTGTTGATTTTTTTTTTCCCATACAGAGTGAGAAACAGGTGATATTTACAGCTTGGTTTTGCCTCCGGATTTGGAATCTCCCTCTCGCGACTCGGAGAGACGCTGCTCAAGAAGTGTTTCTGGACCTTTTTCCTAAGTGCACGTGTCCAAGCAGGGATTCGAACCCAGGCCTCCAGAGTCCTGGTCTAGCCTTCTGAGAACGATTTTGGCCTTTCTAGTCCAGAAGCACAACCCCCCTCCCTTTGATAATCAAAGAGAGGGATTAGAAGTGATTCCTTGATTTCCTCCTCCTCGCCCCACCAAAGAAAGTATGTGGGGGGGGGGACGTCGTGGCCCTCGCCTCTGTTACCCAAAGAAACTCACCGCGACAGGGTGCAGGAGGGATTCTCCGGAACAAGGGGTGGCTAAAGATATCCAAGACTCTTTAGGGTCCGGGTCTGGGGGCTCCTGGCTGAACTTGGAGGGGGGCCGCAGAAGGTGGACGACTTTGACCCACGACTCAAAGTTGTCGGGCTGGTTGTCCAGCGAAGGGCAGAGCTGGAGGTAGAAGGTCCGGCCGGTGGCCATTTTGAAGCGCAACTGTTTTTTCTCCAGATCGTGGATGGAGATCTTGACAAAACACAGAGGAAAAAGCCTGGGGGGGGGGAAAGGGGGGGGAGAGAAAAGAGAGAGAGAGAGAGAAAACCTCATGGGGCGGATTGTGCGGGAGAGTTCTGAATCTCTGGTTCAAACTCCCCCAGACGTGCAAGGATTCCCAGAGCCGAATAGCTTCAAGCACCCCCAGATTAGTCCACTCCCTCTTTTGTCCCTCGTTAAATGGCGCTTGGAGTCTCAATAACTCACTCTGAGATAGGAGTAGGAGAAAGCATAAAAAGACTTGACTTCTTCCGATTGAACGGATCCAACAGCAAACTGAGAAACATGACTGCTTTCAACAACACTCTAGAGAGGGGGGAAAAGCCACTGAGCGGAGAGGTGGGTCTCTCTTGGAATTCGGAAGCAAGAAGGCACGATTGGTGAATGCTGGATAGATTGACAGGCACCCCAACCCAGAAAAGGTCCCTCCCAGCCAAACCTATTAAAGGCCGCATGCGAGGTTGCAAAAACTCCCAACAGGTTGGCCGTAGTTGGGCCAGAGTTGGATCCTCAGTATAATCTTGTTTATTCAAGACCCTGGCTCTCCGAAGCCCACTGTGCTGCTTTGACAAGGCGGGTTCCAAGATTTAGATCTTTCAGCCGAATGGAGATCACAAAAATGGTTCTGAAAAGCGCCGGCCGTGGGACTTGCAACTTAGAAATGAGAAACCAGGCTTGCATGAACGGTTTAAATCTGAGTAGACCGATCGCCTGTTCACGAGGAGGAAGGAACAATATATCCCAGAATCTTCCAAGACAGGAACTGTGCTTGGTGGCAGGTTTGGGGGAGCTGTTGGTTGAGAATAGAAGAAGTTTTTCCAGCCTCTGGTTATCACAGATGCCTTCCGAAACCATTTTAGAAAAGATTTCATGCCTCCTTGGAAGGGAGAAGCAAGTGGGCGGCGAGTTCTAGAGCTTGGCTGGCGTTTGCTCGTTCTGCAGCTGAGGTCTCGCCAAGCTGCCCGAGAAGCTCAGCTGGTCTTGCAAAGAGTTTGGAGCAGATTTAGAAAACCGGGGGGGGGAGAGAACTGCTTTTGGAGGGGCTTGCTCCATACCAGGAGAGGCTTCCTTTCAAAAGAGAGAGGAGGACACCCACCACCCACCCCCCGGCCCCTGAGATGAGAAAGAGAGACGGAGCCTCACCTGGTGAGTTCGAACCTCGCGTTCGGATAGCGGAACCGGGCCTGGTGGGGCGGCGGCTGTTCGTGAGGGAGGATCTGCCGGGCCATCAAGAGCACGTTGGGGAGTTTCAGCCCGGGGCTAGTGGCCGCAATGGCCACCCGCACCTGGCGGACTTGGTTGTGGACGTCCAGGGTGCCCCCTCGCTTGCCGACCTGGCGTGGGAAAGAAGAGCCGGCACAGAGACGTCACTGTAGGGCGTTAAGCCCTTCCCAGAAGAAACAGCCAGAGCTTGGGGGAAAAAGTTCTTCAGACTGATAACTTTCTCCCTGATGAAGCGTCCTGTGTGACTCGAAAGCTCGCCTTTTTTTATTTTAAAAAGGGTATTTTTTACAGTCCATCCTTTAAAAAAGATGAAACTAGCCCTTCCTGTTTTGCTCACGTTTAATAATGTGCCAGCATTGTTTGATTTTGTTATGATTTTGTTATGATTTTGAAAAAAAGGTGAAACTAACCCTTCCTGTTTTGCTGACGTTTAATAATGCAGCAGCAGGGAAGACTGTGGGATTGTTATGATTTTGAATTAAAGGTGGTGGTTGTTTTCAATGGGTATCCTTTTGAGAATTTTGCAAGCTTTCCCCCGTTTCTCTCTGGGTTCTGCTTTTCGGGATTGTTATGATTTTGAGTTAAAGGGTGGTGGTTGTTTTCAATGGGTATTCTTTTAACAATTTTGCAAAGTTTCCCCCCGTTTCTCTCTGGGTTCTGCTTTTCCGAAAAGTCCTTTAGGGTTTCACGAACTCCGAGCTGAGAGCTGGCCAAGCCCCCTTTTTGGGCCACCCTGCCCTCATGGGGTCCGGAGGGGATGCAAACCCTCCCGTGGTCTCCTTTGGCTCCCCCCCCCCCCCGACCAAGCCTTCACCTGGACAAAGTCGCTTTCGAACATGGAGGCCCACTTGAAAAGGTTGTATTCTCCCGTGCGGAGCTGGCGCTGGAGCGGGCCCATGGCCGTGTTGAAGAGGCCTTGGCTGGCCACGGCTGGTGGGGTTTTAGACTTGGCCGTCGTCATCTTGTGGTTCCAGGCCTGCGTGGAAGTCAGGGCTAGCGGTTAGAGCGGGAATGGGCTGGTGGTGCGGAGAGCAGGGAAGGCTGGGCCTTCGCAAGGGGTCAGCTTCACCTGTTGAATTTTGGGGTGCAAGGCTGCTAAACAAGAAGCACGTGGCTTCGTTTGAAGCACGGTTAGGGCTTCCGTGGCCTGATCAATGGGTCCTGGCTAGGACCACGCGTGGACTCACTCTAGAGGCTCAAAAGGCTGTGCTTGACCATGAGAAAGGCTCCCTGCTGGTGATGGCAAGAGTGCTGGGGGGGGTGTAAGTGGGAGGCCGTAGGATGAGAGGAAGAGCCACCGTGAGATGGACAGACTCCCTCAATGAAGCCTCGGACCTGGAGTTTGCAAGACCTGACCAGAGCTTTTAAAATCCGGGCCTTCCAGAGGTTGTGCACGAGGTGACCGGAAGTCCGAAAAGCAGATGGAGCCGAAAGGACATCGCCACCTCATGGGGGGGCTTTTGGAAACTGCAGGAGCTGGCTAAGTGGAGGTCAGGGAGGAAATAGGGCAGCCATCCTGCCTGGATGATCTTCAGACCATCCGGTGGGGTGGCCATAGATGCCCGCGGGCCTCTTCAGGGCTCCCAAGCAGAGTGACCGGTGTGTGTGTCTGTGTTTTTCAGTTGGACACCCATTTAGATAGGGTGGGTGGTGAGTGGCGTCTGGACCCCCCCACACACACTGGAAAGGGGTCAGGGGCTCACCTGGGACTCTCATAGGTGTCCCGTCCTCTCTTGCTTGCCCCCCCAGACGGTGCCCCTCTTTGGCTGGTCTTGATCCTCAGGGGGGAGAGGCCATTGTTTGATGTCATCGGTTCTTCTATGACATCTCGCTCCGTCGTCACGGACCCACAGACAAGGATGGGGTGGGGAGGCCCCTTGCCTTTCAGGGCCCGGTCCAACCCTTAGGCGGAGGGAGGCTGCGGCTTCAGGCGGTGGATCTACTGGGGTGGGCGGGGGGCCCCAAACCCCTGCGCTCCCCAGGGGAGCCTCTCCTACACACCCAATCTGGAGAGCCCCCTCCGTCACGGCCATCGCCGGTCTTGAAGTAAAGCCCCCCACCCCCTGCTCCGGCCATCTTCCACACATGGAACAGTGCCAGGCTGCCTCGCCTTTTGCCTCGGGCGGCAAAATGTCTGGGGACGTCCGAGACCGATCTTCTGCACAAAACTGCCATTGAGAAAAAAAAGGAATTGGACTCTACCTTATTTAAGGTTATTCTGCCGCAAGATAAAAAATCCAGCAACCCTACTGGAAAAAAAGAGGAGGGTTGTCTCTCTTGGTTTTTATGTATGTTTCATGATTCTACTTCCATCGGGTCTTGAATTTTGGGTCGAGTTCCTTCCACTGGGTGGTCGAAGTGCCGAGACTCAAGAGAGGAGAATAGCTTCCAGTTCCCCGCAGTAGCTACCACCCCTTTCTCATTCACGAGCACTTAAAGTCTCTGCAGCTCGCTCCCAAGAGACATTTGTTGGAGAAAGGAGAGAAATGTACTTACGGTTTTGAACAGATCAACAGCAAACAAAAACAACGACGTGGACTGCCAACGGAAATAAAGGCACGCTCAGCCGAGAGGCAGGAGCGGATGATGGGTTTAGTGCTGGTTTGATTGACAGTCGCCCCAGTCCAGAAAAAAAACTGCTCCCTGTCACTCAAACTGAGTGGTCGGGAGACCAGATGGGCGGGGTATAAAATAAATAAAATAAAATAAACGGCATTCTTGTCACTCGAACGGCAGGCAGCCTGGGAGATTTCAAATAAAACTGCAATGGATCTTTCCTCCAAGACAGGAGATGTGTGGGGGGAAAGTGCTTTTAAAAAGCGATGGGAGTTTTTATGATGCTATTTGAGGGGGGAAAAAAACTGACTTACGATGTGCGAGGTTTGTGGTTTAACTGTCTTTTTCTGGCGCTTACAAAGCTCACATTGAAAACCTGGGAATGGAAGGTTTTTACCTCCAAGAAGCTTGGATGTCCAACATATATATATTATTTTAGGAACCTGCAGGGAAGGGAAAAGTGTTTCTTTTCAGAAAGACCTTTTTTAAAAAATATATATATAGGGATTTCAGTTGATCAGGGCAAACCCTCTTGATTCAGGAATATAACTTCCTATTTATGACGGAATATATGGGGGGAGGCCGTTAGTGCTTTGAGACCCTCTTGAGTTACCTCGTTTTTTTAAAAAATGTCCTTTAAGTGATTTTTAAAAGGTAATGGATTGCTAGAGGTGGGGAAAGAGGTAGAATAAATTTTGGGGAAATCTCAGGAGACTTTTAAAAGATGAGCCCATTTAGGGCAATGTTTTCCAAACGTTTGAGTGTTGTTATTATTGAGAAAGGGTCACTTTTCCTACATCCCCTGACGATCATCATCCTTCCCCTTTAAAAAAAAACCAAGACGTGCTGTTTAAAAACAAATGCAAAAAGAGGGCGAAGTTTTGAAAAAAATATTTTAAATTTGAAACCAACGTTCTTGCGACAAAAGGTTAATCAAAAGAGATTGACCGAAGAACGTGAAGTGGAGAAAAAAAATAGCTATTTTTTTGTTTTCTGTAGAAAAAAACCTGAAAAATCTGGTGGCCCTGCTTAGTTTTTGCGGCCCTCCCTGTCAAGGAGGCCCAGTGAGGGATTCGAACTCCGTACCTGTGGCTTCACAGAAAGAGACCTCAACTCCGGAGCCATCCAGCGGTCCTCTCCAGCATTGACTTTTTCGGACCCGGATCAGAGCCTACCTCGGAGAGCTGTTGTAAGGAAGGACAAGGACCTGTGAAGGGGGGCTTTCCTGGAAGCGCCCCCCGTTTTTTCATTTAGAGCTTGTATGGACTGACGGAATTCTGCCCAATTAATAATAATAATAATAATAATAATAATAATAATAATAATAATAATAATAATAATAATAAATAATAATAATAATAGCAACAGCAGCAGCAGCAGCAACAACAACAACAACAACAACAACAACAATAATAGCAGCATCTGCAATTTGGATTCCTGTTTCAAGACGAGAAACCAGGATAAAATCCAAAATGCGGACATTGGCTCCATCTAGCGGGAGGCACCAAGGTTTCTGCTTTGGAAACTCATACCAAACAATGCAATTCATCTTGCCTTTTGTCACTGATTTCAAAAACAGCGTTTTGTTCCACCCAAATTAAGAGGGCAGCTAGTTAGGAGTGGAACCTCCAGGTTCAGGGGTAGTTCACCTGTGAAGTCCAGAGGCTGAATAACCCACAAAAGGGAGGCCGAGGGGTGGTTGGACCTGCCACCTTGTTTTTAACAGGTGAACCAGAACCTTCTACAACATAGAGGTTTCCGGTGTTCAAATTCCAACATCCCCTACCAGCGTTGGAATTAGTTCAGGATGATGGGAGCTGTGATCTCACAAGGCCTGGAGGGGTTAGCTCCACCCTTCCACATAGAAGCGAGGTCTTGAGTTTCAGCTCAAGGTTGCCAGCTGACCAGATAAAGTCAGCTCTTCTGCCTTCAAAAGCGGGGCTCAAGATAAAACGGGTTGCAGATTAGGTAAACATTAGAGGCGCTTAGTGATGCCTGCACGCCTGTTGCTACTAAAGGTAGAGGAGGAGAAGCCAAGGAAAATGTTGGCAACTCTCGTTGCAACAGCTGTACAGGAGCAGCCGCCAGGAAAAATGTTGGCAACCATCGCATGCTCTGTCCGAAGCAAATGGAGAAAGCTTTTTCCTTGGGCGATCTTTATCCCCACCTCCTCCCCTTTTAAGACCAAGTGGGTCACTTGCAGAAGCCATCCGTGGGGCCTGGAGGGAGGGGGTGTGCGTGCAGCCAGATAGGCTGGTTTAGGGAAGAGGGCAACCCCCCCCCTTGCCCTCCTTTGAATGGAAGGGGGAGGGGTGCACAGGCTTGCACTAATTCGGGCTGAAGGATGATGAATGAGGACGTGGGGGAGGAAGGAAGGCCACTTTGCTAGCCCTTCTCTCCCCACTGAGAGTCCGAAGCCACAGGCAGAGGCCAGGAAAGACTCCCCCCCACTCTCCTCCCCCCCCAGCAAGCCAGCCCCGGTGGTGGGGAGACTGGTTTCCCCTTTGGGAGGGTGGCCACCTACCCTGGGAGTGGCAGGGGCGAGGGAGGGGGGGGAAAGCCTTTTAGAGGCATCTGAACTTTCTTCAAGCCTCCTCTTTCCGGAGCACTCTACCTGTGCTTCCTCCCGGCCCGCAGGTCAGCCCATGGGATTTGTAGTACCCGTGCCTGTGGGGAGAAACCGACGAGAGGACGAAGAGGAAGCCCGGCTGCGTCCGTCACGCCTGGCAGAGGCCCGGAGCGTAATGGGAGCTGGCAGCTGGAGGCTGCCCGCTTGACCAGGGATGGCAGAATGACCGCGCCACTGAACCTTTGGGGGAATAATCTCATTAGCTGAGTGGGTGGCATTTGGGGGGGGGAAGCACCGGGCGGAAATTCAGCCTCCATGAGAGGAAGCGGCCGCTGGGCAAGGGGGGGGTTGGCCCATCCAGGATGAGATCAGGGCTGGGCTCGGAGGAGAGAGGGAGACCCATGCGGTCCTTCGAGGCTGGAGAGGGTCCCTTGGGTTGGGGGGGTGAAAGGGAGACCCATGAGCCAGCCCCCCCAAAAAAGAGGAGGGCCGCTGTCACAAACACCTGGGTCCCCCTGACGAGGAATGGGGGGGGTGTTGAGGAAAAGCAGCCATGACGGCTGTGTTTGGAAGAAGAATATTACAATGGGTGGCTTGAAGAGGTGGATGATGGTGGCGGTAGTACTAATAACAGACTTCCAGCAGAGCTGGAAGGAACGAAGCATCCCCTGAAATCTGAGCCATCACTCCTGCGACATGTTGCAACCTCAGTGGCAGCTCACAGGACTGAAGAGACCTGTTGGACTTCTGCCTTCTGCACCGTGGTGAAGAAGGATGCAGGAGCTGGTCGGCGATTTTTGCAACCTCGCATGCTGCCTTTCGCAGGTGTGGCTGAGCGTGACCAGACCATAGCCAATTGTTCCCTCCTGCCTCTGATTTCAGAGAGTCCCACCTCTCTGCTCGGTGTCTTTTTCCTCTCTCTTCAGTCTGTTGCCAGTCAGTCCGTCTGTTGGTGTCTTTTGTCGAAAGCAGTCGTGTTGGTCAGTTTGCTGGTTAATCGTTTCATAATTGTAAGTCAAGAAAATGGTTTTTATGCTTCCTCTTACTAAGGTCTTGAGATGACTTTAAGTGCAAGTGGATGAGAAAAAAAGGGGTGGACTAATCTGGTGGAACTTGGGAGCTATTCTGCACTTCTGCTGTGCAGCTACAGGAATTTAACCAGAAATCCAAAGTTCTGCCGCTGGAACCTTATTTTCCATTCCCCATGAGGACTTCCCCTGAAGACTGTGGTTTTCACCCTCTCTGGTATAGAAACAGCTTGGTTTCAACGTCTAATCCCTTATGAGGGGAGTTATTCTTCTTTATAGAAACCTATTTCGAAATTGTCACAATCCGAGGATAGGCCAGGAGGACTGGTCTTGCCCGCGGTCGGGCGCGAAATGGCAGGTTGCGCGTCGCGTGGATGTTGTGTGATGCCTTAGGGTGTGTGATGCCTAGGAAAGGCCATATTTGGGTGGAAGCGAGGTTGGAGGAGAGCATCTGGCTGAAAGAAGAAGGAGAATTAGAACAACTTCTAATTTATTTTATTATTTTACGGGGCTAACTTGCTTTCCCCCCTCACACCTGGGGAAAATGGGGCCAAGGGACCAGAAACCGGTCCCCAAAAGGGCAGTAGGCGTGTATAACAGAGGACGTGCGACATCAAAACGAAAAGAACGAAGGGCCCCATATGACCTGGACCCTTCAAACGACCAGTCTCTTGACTCACCCATTAGAAATGTGTCTGCTCAAGTCAGGAATGGCAAACGGCCGTCAAAAAAGGCAGAACAATTTTTTTCAAAAAAAAATCTCCTTCGAGAATACAATCTCCTGAATGTTTATACAAACCGGCATATTTAGGTCCTGATGGATCCAGGAAAAGAGGGACTCTACGTTTCCTCCCCGGTTCCCTGTAGGTGGGAGGATTTGAATCCAGGTCTCATTGACTGTCCATTTTGTATTTTCTGTCTCTTCCGGGGGGGGGGGTCTTTTTTGGGGAGTGGTGGAGGAAGAAATTCCAGATTTTAAGAAAAAAAAACCCTTTGGCAAATCCTGTCTGGGTAGAAAAAGAAGCCACATTCTTGTATCTTGGGGTGAAATACAGCGATGGCATGACCTCCCCCTTTGGACCCACGCGTGAAGCCCTTACTCCCGAGTAAACATCCATGCACTGGACCTGACTGCAGGAGTTTGTTGCATGGACCGCCTTAATGTTTTGAAATGTAGCAGTCAGGAATGCATCTGGGAAATACATTTATAGGAAAAAAAAGGAGTTGATTATTATTATTATTATTTAATTTAAGTCTCATGTTAAAATCCCCAAAGACGGAGGAGCGGCTAACCTGGTGGATCAAACTACAACTCCCATAATCCTTCACAGCTGGGAATTCTGGGAGCTACAGATCTGGGGGGAAAAAGAGGAAGTTTTCTCATCTCTGGATACATTTATTTATTTGCAGTGCTTTAGCTGCTACAAAATGTAGCAATAGAACTAGAAAGTCACATCTCAATTATAAATAGCAATCACACAGTAACATTCTAACAGAGGGAAACATTGGGAGAGATTAAAAAGAAAAACACACTCTGGTTAACATTAGAACTCAGAAGGATTTTAATTTTTTTTAAAAAAGAAGGAAAATGCATTAATTGTGGGCATCTAGCTTAAGAATCACTGATGTGTTTGCAGGAGATGGATTTCCTTAAGGGGGAAGGTGAGATACAAATGTAGCCACCTGACCTATACATAAATGATAAATATTGTAGTAAATTGGGATGCATCGCATCAGCCTGCAGGATAATATTAACAAATAATAAATTAACAGATCGCATTAGCAAATAAATATGATAAAATAAGTATTTATTTCTAGCAAGTAAATATTTATATAGTAGAATAAATATTTATTTATACACATTGAAATATTTGGAGGTCACTTAGTGGAAAGTTCGCCACAAGGGCGACTTGATAGCATGTAACAATAGAAAATAAATAGGAAATAATGAAATACAATTGTATTTTGACTCACCCGGAGTTTGTTAGCGTTTCTTTTTGGAGGAACGGCTCCTGGTGCCTTTACCAGTCCTAATTTCTTGTTTCACTCATCAAAACTGAGGTTTTTTTTAAAAAACCCACATACTCAGATGTCAGTTTATCTAAAAAGAAAGCAAAAGTTTTTTTTCTCCCCCGCCCGCTCCGGTTTCGGGCGGCCTTTCCCGTCACCGTCAACCGTAAAATTAATGGGCCGGAGAAAGCGGCGGGCGTGAAGCGCGGAGAGAGGAAGAGCCGAGGCGCTGGGAACTTCGCGGCGGAGACAATGGAAGCGCCGGAGGGAGGGGCGCGCGGGCCCGGGAACAGCCGCGGAGCGTCCGCGGGTTCGAATCCGCCTCGGTTCACACGCCGGGAGAAGCCGGAGGGGAGCGGCCGGGGTTTGTGTGGGATTTTTTTCTTCCTTCCCTTTGCTTTTTAATTTTTCCCCCTTTTTGTTTTGCAACGATTTCTCACCTTTGCAAAGGCGAGGCGGCCGAGAGCGGTTGGCTCCCGCGTGCTGCTGCTGCTTCCTTCTGATCCTCCATTTTCAAATTGGGATTTTATTAATTTTTTTCCCTTTTTTTTTTGCTCCTGATTTTTTTTTTCCTTTCCCTCCCCCTTCTCTCTCTTTTTTTGCAATTGCATGGAAAGCGGAAGGAGACGCCCTTGAGAGAGAAATTGAGAGACAGCGGCGGTTTTATTATAATTATTATTTTAAAAAAATAGAAATTGGAAATTTGCAAGCAGTTTGGGCGTTCGGGCCGGAAGGGAACAAAAGCCAGGGGAGGAAGAGACCCGAAAAGGCGAATCCCTGGTCCAGCTGCCTTCATTTTGCACCGCCCAGCCCGGAGCAACAGGATCGCACCCAAGCTGCTGCAATGGTAAATGTGCGCCTCGCTCTTCCTTTTGTTTCAAGGCGGGTGGGGGGCATCTCTCCTTTCTCCCCTTCTTTTAAATAAAAAAAAGAGAGCAAAATCTGGAATCCAGAGATTCCTGCGGACCCGAGGCGACCTCGAGGAGGGGCTGGGATCCTTTTGCAAAAAAAAAAGAAAATAATTTTAAAAAAAAAAAGCAAAATCTGGAATCCAGGGATTCTTGCGGACCCGAGGCGACCTCGAGGAGGGGATGGGATCCTTTTGCAAAAAAAAAAGAAAATAATTCAGGAGGGGGGGGGGAAGAGAGATTGCAAAGAGAGCTGAGGACCGCTTGCAGGATCGGGGCCCTCCTCTCTTAACCCCTTGTGGGGGGGCGAGGAGGAGGAGGAGGAAGGCGTGGTTGCAATCCTGAAATAGCATTTCCGTCTTCTCTCTTTTCGACCCCCCCCAATTTGCCTCTTGCAGGTTGCAGGGAAGAATAGCCCCCCCACCAGAAAAAAAGGTGCTCCCCCTATACGTGGAGGTGGAGGAGACGGGGGAGGGAGGCATGGGGAGCTTTCCTGGCCCTGGGAGGTGTGGGTTGCAATGTTTTTTACCCTCTGCCCCCCCCCCCGGGAGGGGAAAAATCGATCCTAAAAAGGGTTTGTAGGTTTTCTGGGGGGCGTTTGGAGTTTTCATCTCTGCTTGGTTCTCCTGTCCGTGTGGGTTTCGATCCCTTCTTCCTTTCTGTGTCCCTGCTGAGTGGGGGGGGCATGAAGGGTGGAGAAGGGGGAGACGACCCTCCCCTGGCAAGGGAGGATCGGGACCTCCTTACCCCCAGCTGGGTGGAAGGCCGAAAGCAGGGCGTGCAGG